GCCGGAGCCGGCCTCGGGTTAAATGGAGGGAGGGAGGCCCAGCCATAAATCTGCCCTCCCAGCCTGGGCTGGTGCTAATTCTGCAGTTAAGTGAGGGGGTGAAGAGGGCAGCAAGATGGGATGGGGGGGGTATCTCTGACCCTGCATGCCAGCTCCCATGTGCTAAGTCACAGCTAGGCCCTCCTCCCTTGCTGGAGGAAGGGGACTTCCCTGGGGCTTACGTGGACCATGCAGAAGTGTCTCAAATGTGATGAGATCAGGACCAGAGGTGGGGTCTCAGGGTCCACGTGGCAGGGATTGTAAAACCAGCAGCCCCTCCTCCTGGACCTAATCTGGGTCTCTGTGGACTCAGCTCTTGCAAAGTGATCAGTAGGCAAGTCACATTTCCTAGTAACACAGTGAGGGAGGGGGCATGGAGATTCATATCATGTGACCAAGTGACTGGTCATCCTGTTCACTAGGTGACTGCTAGCGATAGCCTCAGTGATGGGGACCCACAGGCCATTCCTCAGTGTGGAGAACAATCACAACCTCTTGGGTGGCCCAGCCTCTCCTTCCCTGGGCCCAGACTCCAAATGAGGTGCACGGGGCCCAGGACAGCCTCTGAGGGCCTCTTATGGCCTGAGGCAGGGGAGGGCTCTCCACCTGGGTTTGGTAATGACCTCACTCCCCTCAGAGCTGCTAATTGAAAGCAAGGGGTGTGGTAGATACAGCGGGAGAGGTTGGGGAACTGAGAGAGTTCCCTGAGAGGCTCTGCTTCCATGGGGGGGAGGAAAACGATTCCTCCTGGCTTCGGCTCCATCTCACTAGGCACCCACCCGGCCTCTCCTGCTGCTAACGAAGTGCCTTTAATTAGCAGCCTAATAAAATGCTCTTAATTGGCAAGAGCCAATCAGGAAGAAGAGAGGTCTCCTCCCCTTAGTCATTGCTGATGGTGGTGCAGATATAGGTTTCAAGGGAAGAGGGATTCCAGGCCCAGCCTGGCTTTAGGAGACAGTGACTTTAGGGCTGAGTCTTCCAAGGGGATGCCCTAAACCCCAGCATTCCTGGGACAAGCGATCTGACACTGGCGTTGAAGGTGAGAGACTCATAAACCCCAGGCCCAACCTCTGCTCAATTGTGGGCTCAGAAGCCCAGCTGGCAAGTGACAACTGAGTAGATGCCAGTGGCTGGAGGAGTCTTTGCTGACTCCTCCCTCCCTGTCCTTAGTTGTTAGAGTTGTTCAGTGTGTCTCGGGCAGTTGGGGGAGCCCCTTCTGTTGCTCCACAGGTTCCTCATCTGCAAAATGCCAGGGGCACCTGATGCTCTGACATGTCTCCATTCTAGGAGGGGTAGTTTCACACTAGGCCCTGTTGTCTAAGTCTGAGAATGCTCTAATGACGACAGTGGTCAGTCCAGGTACCACAGGCACTGGGACCACAAGGCTGACAAAGCCCAGTCAAGCAGGGAGAAATACTACTACCAAGAGCCCATAGATGGAAAACAAAGGTGGATTAATTTTGACAAGGGTCCTGCTTGTGACACTAGGAGGAGAAGAAACGAGCGAGAAGAGGAGGGGGTCTGCCATGCCTGCCACCTTGCACCCATCTCCCTGGGTTTGCTTTAAGGAGGTAAGGGGAGTGAGTTTCCCCAGTCAGTGCTTTCTTCATTTTTATAGCTTGTTGGAGTTTCTCTGGAAATTGCTCCTGAACGTGAGCTCACTTGTCTAGAAACTGACCAAATGGGATGCAGGGGAAACCTAAGTCTTCTCACCCTCTGAGAAGGCAAATTTAAGGAAAGGAAATTTAAGGAAGAGGAAAATTTAAGTTCTGGGCTCAGGCTGGGTTGTAGTAGGCTCAGCTATGGTGACCAGTTCCCAAATTAGACATCATGTTGGCTTCAGTTTAATTCAACATGGAATATTAAGTGTATACCAAGGGCCCTATATTTATTCACACCATTTGGCCCTGACTTTTCTCAATGTTGTTTTCTCAGGTCAGATTATCTTAAAAGGTATCTGTACACTCCCTCAATTTGTATATTGAAATATTCACTGTCCTCTTGATGTTGGGGCAAAGAGACAAGACACTTAGAAAATTCACTTTAATCTTATATTTGTAATTTAAGTTACTTTTTTCTGAACAGTTAAAAAAACCAAAACACACTATATTACCATGATCCTAGGTTGTGAACATATTGGTACACTGACTACACATCACCATAACATAATCACAAAAGTCAAAGCAGTCAGCACTTAAGAGGCTAGAGAACAAAGGCTGAACCAACAGAAAGCTCTCGGGGAAGCTCACATCTGTTGCTGACCCTGCCCCATAGCTGGAGTCCAGTGAACATCCCTCAGAACAGTCTGGGTCGGGCTTGAGTGATCACTGATTTGGGGAAGGTGTTAGTTTCCTTGGTACCCAGAGGTCTGACCCTCCTTGTTGGTCTTTTCCTTCAGTGTCCAAAAAGGGAAAGGGATAGAGGGGCAGTGACATTTATAGTGCCATTTACTACACTGACCCTTACACACATACAGAGCCAATCAGGAGCTAAGAGCCAGCTGGCTGGGTTGGAGAGCACATATTTTATTTATTTATTTTTTTTGTGAGGAAGATCAGCCCTGACCTAACATCCGATGCCAATCCTCCTTTTTTGCTGAGGAAGATTGGCCCTGGGCTAACATCCGTGCCCATCTTCCTCTACTTTATACGGGACGCCGCCACAGCATGGCTTGACAAGCGGTGCGTCAGTGCGCGCCTGGGATCTGAACCTGCGAACCCTGGGCCGCTGAAGCAGAGTGCACGCACTTAACCACTGCGCCACCGGGCCGGCCCTGAGAGCACATATTTTAGATGTCATCTGCCTCCAAGAAATTTTAGGTCATAGGTACTCAACTTACAACAGAAAAGGTTTTCTCAGTTATCAATGCATTAAGTTCCAACTGAGGGCTGGCCCCGTGGCTTAGCGGTTGAGTGTGTGCGCTCCGCTGCTGGCGGCCCGGGTTTGGATCCCGGGTGTGCACTGACACACTGCTTCTCTGGCCATGCTGAGGCCGCGTCCCACATACAGCAACTAGAAGGAAGTGCAGCTATGACATACAACTATCTACTGGGGCTTTGGGGGAAAATAAATAAATAAAATTATTAAAAAAAAAAAAAAGTTCCAACTGAAATCAGGCAGCCGTGATCATGCTCTTTTGGTTTCTCTCCTCAGTTCCAAGGATTCTAAAGTTACAAGTGAACTACAGGTAAAAATAACAAGAAGCAAAACTCAGCTTTAAACCCCTAAGAGATGGTTGTCTTTCTGGCACCGATTATGTTGAGACTGTGGATAAAGTAAGGGGCTCTGGTCTGTCAGTGATCAGCCATGTGGTTTAAGCCCAGGGAGATTACTCAGCCTGTAGGCTTTGGGTGCACTTGTTAGAAGTGCGAGTTATTCTAGGAGGTAAGAGAGGAAGGCAAGGAGAAGCAAGGGCACCTTTTCATGTTCTCCAACTCTTGGAAAGTCTGTTGAACTCATCCAAATGGGGAGAGAGATCAGAAGTGTGAATTCAAGTCATATGGTAAACCTGATCATCAAAGAGCGTGATGGTGACAGGTGGGGGGTATCTAAGCATCCCCTTTTCCACCTGGGAGTACCTTGGATTCCTCCAGAATCAGGCTGGCAGCCTAGCCTCTCAGGCCTGCAGTATTCTGGGTTGGACTGCTCCCACTTTAGGCAGGAAGATATTACCATCTAAGGTAAATGGAAGATGCCAAGAAGGTCAACAATACCAAGGTATCTAATCTAATTCTAGGAAAGAAAAAACTGCCCTAATTATTTCCAGTATTCCCCACGCCCTCCACCCCAAGCCCTTTGTTTCCACACACAATCGAGTGCTAAGGAGGAGATCAACCACAGCTGTTCAGACCTATGGGTACCAGGAGACGGCAAAGAAGAGCACATATTTTCTTCTCTTCAGCTTCTGACTTTACAAAAGAAAAATAAAAAGGATTTTTCTTATTCAAGCAGAAAACAGAATGATTTAGGGGTCCCAGGGTCTTTTCCAGTTCAGAAACAAGTTATGAGGGCCAGACTTCATTACTTGTCAATAGAGTTCCAGAAAGTCCCTGTCTCTGAAGTTTCTGGTGAAGAGTCACCAGAAAGAATTCTGCCAAGGGACAAGTGTAAAAGGCCTCCCATTCCCATTACAATTTACAAGTGTAAAAGGTGTCCCACGAAAGTGGACAATTCACATCCACTTTCAAATTGCACATAAGACAGTAAAAGGATGTTCTCAGCAGTGGAAACACACACACGTGCAGCAGGGCATGCTGGCTTTGTCCAAGCAGCCCCAGTGGGAACAGAGAGCTCGCATGTGCCCACAGAACTCCAGGTGCAGGTGCGTGCACATGCTCCTTGCACGCCTTTGAAAAAGCTTCCTCCCATCTTTAAGAAACGTTTCTTTCAGGCCCACATTGGAATTTTAGTGAGAAGAGACTAATATATGATGGAGACGTTTCATTTCTGAACCCAGAGACACCTTCAGCCCCTTTTCTACCATTCCTTTAAATGTGTTGAGACTTTCTTTGTTTCTCTTTTCTCTTTAAAAAGGTCAAACTTTACATTTATTCTAGCCCAGTTGGGGATTAGTGATAATCAATTCCCACTGAAATCATGCAGAGATGTAAGTGGGGTTTACCTTCTCTGGAAATGAACTTCTACTTACCTGATTATTTCTTCTACAATGAACTGGTAAATGACCCCCAGAGCTGAGAAATGTGACTGACTCAAGTTTTTCAGACCACTTAACTTCATTCCCATTTCCATCAGCAGCAGAGGACAACTTGGAGAATATCCTCAACCGAGCTAATGGCTCCAGACTGCAGGGTCCACCCTGGATCTCATTTATGATGTACTGGACAAGCTTCAAAACAGTCTTAGAAACAATATACCTGCAACTGAACCTAGATGGGAGAGCAAAACCCTGGCCACCAATGAATATTCAACAGCTCCCATTTTTGAATAGCAGCATATAACAGAAGGGCTAGTAGAGTTATGGCTATTGGACAATATTTTGAAACAGCTCGAAATCCATGCCTCTTTAATGCCTGACTTGTGTGTTATTCGGCCCTCTACCTCTTCTGTAGCAAAATCCTTAACCAATCAAAAAGCCATTAACAGTCAACACAATAGACAAGGAACCTTGATAGTAGCTAAATAGAAAATATTTCTCTGTAGCATTTGGGTAGTTGGGAAGGGAATTATACTCAGAAAATATTTCTCAGGCAATGACATATCATTATACTGGGAAATATTTTCTGAATATAACCTGGAAGTAAAAGCTAAAAAGCACTCACAAAGCAGGAAAGAAAAATGCATATGCATAACCTGCCTCTCAATATGAAGTAACAGCATTCAGTCTGGGCACAATTTGGGAGGAGGACACCTTCTTGCAAATCAGAGGGCAGAGTGAAGATGATTTTTTCTGCCCTTCTCCCTCTGCTGAACTACAGGTGGCCTGGCTTTGAGGTCACCTGCAACTGGCTCCCATTCTGATGCTTTTACAGCAGCTGGTTAAAAAGGGGCTTTCTTTTACTCAACTGCTTTGATTAGGAATGGAAACAATGGGCGTGACTGGTCAGCTTCCAAGGGAAACTTGAGACTGCACTGTGACCTTGAGGCCTTTGATGGGTGTGCCCATGCTGGTGCACATCCACTCCTGCTCTGGGAAACAAGCTGGGCACACACTCATAGTATTCCCTGTGCTCCCAGCTCGGGCGGCACCCGTGCCCTGCACCTGAAGCCCACACAGCTGCCTTGCAAGTGGTCAGGTTAGCCTAGCCCTTGTTGAGGTCTATTTGTTTACGTTGCTCAACTGCCAGAGAAATTTTATTGGCTAGGGAGAGTGGAGAGTGAAATGAGGCCAGGAGGAGGAAGAAAACAAAAGAGAAGGCAGTTTCGGCCTCATTAATAAACCTGTATGCCAAACTTCACCCTGATCCTCTCTCTCTGGCAGCTTTGCCTTTTGTAAATACTGAAAAGCAGAAGGAAGGTTCTGCAGTGCAAGGTTGAGATGATTAGCTTGATTTTTGAGAGATGATATTTACTGGCCTAAATGAAAAAGAAATCAACGTTTACTCCTGACCACTTCTTGAGCTATTCTGATAGTGGTCTTGGCAAGCATATAGGTGCCTAGGTGCTCACAGCCCTGACGAGGAAATCAGAGATGTGAACCATTATGCAGAACGCACCGAGCAACTGGCTCTGGCCATCTCAAACCTTTCTGTAGGCTAAGCTTTACCAGTGATTTAAGATGAAGTACAATGCTTTTTATTACACATCTAATTGTTAATGAGAAGAAATGCAATCAGCAGCTCCTTTCCACACTCGACGTGGAATCGAGGAGACTGCTGAGTCCAGAGAAGAGGCGGTCATTGATGGAGCCCAGGAAATTTCTGCCCCCTCCTTTTTTGGGGGCGGGGGGGTGTTAGAGAAGAGAGAAGAGTTGTAAATATGATGAGAGTACCAGATCTGAGAATCCATTGTTGCCACATAGGGTCACTTGCAGCAAAAGCCTGGGTTTGAAACTTGGACTGAACACATTTAACTCTCCCAAGTGTTGCATTTTCTAGCTGATTTGCCTCATGGTAACTGAGGACTCTCTCTTCATACTCTTTCTTCTCAGGTGGAGCAGAGAAACAGGTTGAAGGAGAATGGGGGGAAGGGGGGAAAGGGATAGAAACAGAGAAAGAGTTGGAAGGAAAGAGGCCCAAACCTTCCAGTGTGTGCATTCTTTTTTTCTGTTTCTTGCCCCAGAGGCTCTATAGACGGCTGTTTCCTCCTAAGCACAGCAGGGCTGGGCTGATCTTGCCAGCCGCCGGGCATTCCTGCAGTTCACAGGCAGACACCAGGTGCTGTCTGGCTTAAAGCTGTATCCCCCTGTCCCCTAGAAGTGGGTATCTCCCAGTAGGCTATATAGAGAAACTAGTTCTTCTGCTTAACAGCAAAGCAAGAGAGATTCTGGCAAAACACTAAATATATTTATAAGTCGTCTTTGTCTGGGACCAAATGAGGAAAAAACAGGTGCAGAGGGGAAAGGAAAAGGGAGGTGAGGTGAGATTTAAAAGTTCCAATCATTCACGAAAGATAAAAGACATCTTCTGATAGCAGCACGGAAGCAGTCAGCTGTGTTGAGTAGACCATCCTGGGTCGACTGCAGACCACCTGTGTCCCAACAGGAGTCTTAAAGCCCCACTCCTTGGCTAGTCCAGGGAAAGTGGGTAGTTGTTTGATTGTTACTGTTGTTGCTCATCCTGGTATTGGCAGATACGTTAAATACCGCAACTTTAACAAGTCCTGTGTGAAAACAGAGCAAACAGTCATTAGTCCCTTTCCCTATATTTCTCACTTGGTCTGAGAGGAAAACAAAATTAACCTAGCTGTCAATTGGAAGAAAGGCTCAGAGGTCCTTCCTAACACCTGCTCTCTGCCCATGCCACGCAGGAGCTTCTGTCAAAGGCTACATGGCCTGTCTGGGGACTTGGCTGGGCTCACTGACATGCTCAGGGCAGTAGCACTCATGCAGAGTGACTCTGATGTCTTGAGATTAAGAGTGACTATGGTGGGTATAGCATCTAATGGTAGAGCAGGCAAGGACAGCTCTGAGGTTCTGGCCCCAAGTGGCCAGGAACATAGTTGTGCCACTAACAGAAGTGGGGGAGTTGGGTGAAGCTGTCCGGCTGCTTGGCTGGAGGGCACTGGCAGTGTAGATGAGGGGAAAGTCTGATTGTTAGATGTGTACACTAGATGCGCTCCTAGTATCTTCAAGGACAGATGTGTAGGTGGTGGCTGGAAATGTGGCCTGGAGATTAAGGCAGAGGTTGGGACTAGAGATATAAATTTGAGAGTCATCTACATTGAGATGATAGCTGAAGCCTTGGGAAGAGATAAGGCAGCCAAAGAAGGGAACTTAGGTAAGGAAGAAAAGTCTGAGACAGACTCTTAGGGGATCTCTATGTTTAGGGGTGAGAGGAGGAGGGAGACATAATCAGAGAGCCAGAAAGAATATTAAAAATGGCAAAATGCCAAAGAAATCTAAAGAGGAGAAAATTTTGGCAAAAGAAAGGGATAGATACATGACGATTACAATATTAATACTGATCACCACTTTTTACTGAGGGCTTGTTATGTGCTAGGCATTGGTGCTAAGCACTAAGAATTTTACATATAAGATTTCAATGCAATCCTCACAACAGCTCTGTGTAGTAGGTATTGCAACACTCATTCTACTAATAAGGAAACTAAGGCTCTGGGAGGTTATTTGCCCAAGGGCACACAGCTAAGATTCTCACCCAGGCCTGCCTGTGTGACTTGGTGAAGGAAGCTGAGGGCTAAGGAAGCAGGCTGTCCTCTGTGAGAGAAGCAAGCCCTGAAGTGAGCCCACCAGGGCACGAACCACTCCACTCAGAAGAACCACTGCAAAAATATGTGCAGAAAAGTGTACTAAATGTGTACTTCTATCACAAGAACTGAGGCAAGCATGGGAAATGAGAAATCATAATGACAGCAACGCTCCCTAATAGCTGGTATAGTTTTCCCAAACCAGCGATAACCTAATTAATGTATTTGAACTGGTTAGGACACAAGGTATGATCTGAATATACCATACTATAGAGAAAGATGAATTTTAGGATCTTTTCCTGCCTCAGAGGGAGGATGGAGACTTTAGTGGGAGACTACACAGAGTTCTCACAGAGCTACTTCCAAGGTCAAAAGACAATTCTTTTCTTTTTTGGAGAGTGAGGATAAGGGTAAAAAAGCTACCTTTGATAATCAAATGACACTGACAAGGCAGAGCTGTGAGATGTCAGTGTGATATTTCGCCAAGAGATTTTTCCATTCACACATTAGCTTATCTACTTGGATTAAAGGGTCTCAATTATAGGTACTGGTTTGATCTGGGAACTACAAAGCCACAGGATTTGGGGTCATTACTCTTAGTTTTGAAACTGATTCAAATTCCATTTTATTTTCTTAACAATCCTATTAGATAACTGGGGCAGAAATTATTAGTTCTACTACACAAGGATCATCTAGATCTAGGTCAAGAATCATCTAGAACTGAGGCTGGCTACCTTGATGAAAGGCAGCGTCCAATGTGCAGTCCCAGCCCTGTCTCACGTTGTCAGCTTCCCCTGCTTTACAGGACTTGGAAAGATGAAGGGCATGAGAAGGCTCCATGAACTAGCAATACCTTACAGCTAATATTCCATCTCCTACCCACAGTGCTATGTACACAATTCTTTTTCATACCTGGGCAAGTATGAGGTCAGTGTATGATTATTTATCTCGAGATATAGGTGTATGTTCGAGAAGGGGAGCGGGGGGGTTCAGCTTGGGCAGCTGGATCATTTAGGAAGTCCCAGATGAGGATTGTGTCATCATGTGAACTACTGACAATCTGGAATTCATCAAACTGAAGTCGGAAAACTCTTCCAGAATGCTCCTAAAGAAGCAGAAACAAAAACTTCTGAACTACTCAAAATCAAAAGAACACAAATTCAGCAACATGTCAAAAGGAGTCTATGGAAAGGTATGGTATACTGATAATTTTCTCTACCATTTAGCTATTTCAAGAATACAGAGAAAAAATTTAAGTTGGATTAAAGGCAAGATGGAAAAATCAAATATTAGGCAGTTGATTTCATACACAAAGTAATATCCACTACAGCTGAGACATGTCAAATAGTACGCTAGTTTCTCATTGCTAACTCTCCTTGGCTTAGGCTGAATGAGAACATTCCTCAGTAACTCCCTTAACTTATCCTCTCTCTGTATCTCTAGAATTCTTTTACAATCAGAGGCAAAGGACTGATAAGCAATAACGAGTGGTGTGCTGGTATATGTCTATCAATTAACTCTCCCTAATTTGTAAAAGCAGTTGGACATTTTCATAGTGTAAAAATTCCTACCCTGGCCAATTTCAAACCACCCATGTAAGGTCAACCAGCTTGCAAAATTCATGAAAATTTAACAATTAGCTCTTATAAGCAGGTATAAGCCTGCTAGAGCTTAGCACACTACTGGCAGTAACCACCACCCTGATCAAGATGTGGAATA